AAAGTTTACATTCATTTTAAAGCGTAGCCATTCAGCTTTCTAACAGTGGGTCGTTTCTTAAATTTGACTCATTGGTTCGCGGGTAATAATACTTTACGTTATTGCGATTGGAGATTAAAAAAATTGAGATGGAATAACAAATCGTTCTCATGAAAATAACTGATTTTTTCATCAAAACAAAAAATGTTGCATTTTATTAAATGGATTTTAACAATAAGTATAATTACGGCTTTTCTTCCGCTATTTTTAACTCAGTTTGAAACTTCAAATGCGATATAATTTTGGCTTGGACCATCTAATCTGACTGACATCAACTTGCTATAATTTCTGTTTACATTACATCGCAATTCGATGACACTCTGGCTCAGACACCAGAATGTTTTGACGATTTTTAGCATTCGTTTAGGATTTTCAAACAACCTGGTCTTTTTTAAAATACTTTTAATTTGTTCTTACGTGGTTTTCCAGATGTAGTGACCACAACATTAAAGTTTAAAGAAGAAAATTCTAACATTTAAACCGACTAAACAAAAACATAGTAAACTTGCATAATTAAACAGCAACTAAAAATGATAGGTTTTACTAAATCTTTTCCTGTGCAATTATTACTAGCATTGGAGACAAGGATAATAGTTTGTTTGAAAGAAAAAAGAACAGGCTTTGAAGTAAGCCAAAAAGCGTTTAACTATAGAGATAGTATTTCGAAAGTTAGTAAGCACAAAAGATGAATTGCGTTTATTTTGATACACCCCGCTAACGTGAACTACGTGTAACTGCAATTTACGCTCAACTGTGTGGTTAAAGTTATCCTCTATTTAACTGCTAAAGAGGCAGTAAAAAAGTAATTAAGAATTTTGTACAATCGTCCCCAGTCATTTTATCGTCTCACCTCCGAGCAGCAGCTTTTCCCTTTCCTTTGTTTAGCATATCATATTATCATTTAGAAATATTTATGCAGATCTTTACTTTTAACATCTCCCCTGGATCTACCCCCTGCTATCTTTACAAAATATTTAACACTCATTAGACTTTTTCATGTTTCATCTCTTTTTATACACAATTAACTGACATATTTTTTGAGGAGAAGAGGAGTTTTTGGGCCTCGGTCAGATTCCTATCTTTTACGGATTCCTGTTTTGTTTAGATAATTATGCCCTCTTCATTTTTTTTTATTGTTATAGAATGTTATTCAGAAAACCTCTTTCAAGAAACCAGTCTGTGTAATATTTAAAAATATTTTGATAATTTCAGATATTGACGAGTGTTCTCTGGGAATCCACAAATGTCATGCTCAAGCAAGTTGTATCAACATTAATGGGTCATATCGTTGTGAATGTCTCGTTGGGTATTCTGGTGATGGAAGGATGTGTAAAGGTAAGTACATATAAGTAAGTCAATCACCCAATAACATGCGTGAAGTTTGTTTTTTTCAAGCTTCCCCATGTATATTACTAGGGACACTTCACGTCTCTAAGTCATATATTCTCACTGAGCAAGCTGTCGGCATTCGGCTGCAACATGTGGGAAACGTCCACCTCCTCTCAAAACGCGCATTCTGTACCTTTTCCAAGATTTTGTTTTTGTCAATAACGTACATTTCTCATATCATTCTTTCAGTTTTCTTTTATAATTTAACCCTGATCCCAATACATGTCAACTCATTTAACATCTGGTATCTGATGTGCAATTGAAAAGTATACAAAAAATTGTAATACAAACATCCATAACGTCACATTAATTCAGAAAAAGTACACAGGGAAAATTTTATCATCATAGTTGGAAAAATTAATCCGTGCTCACTAAATTTCTTTTTTTGAAAGACTTTTCTATCAATGAAAGTTTTTGACAATTTTGTCGACGATTATAAGCAGCTTGAACTCTGGAGAATCGCGTTCCAGCAATCATTTCTTTAATTTTTTAGCAAAAGCAAACAATTTGAATCTGTCCTCTTTCCAGTAATTCTGGATCCTGGGCCTTGTTCCCTGTCCTATCAATCCGCCTCTGACTCTTTCTAGCTTTTTCGTCAATAATTTTCTAGTTTCCCTGCAATTATCCTTTACAGATTCCTGTTTTGTCTAAACAATAATGCCAGCTCCATCGTGTTTCTTATTGTTATAGAATGTCGTTCAGACAAGCTAGTTAATTGAACCAGTCTAATATTGAACAAAAATATTTCAGATATTGACGAGTGTTCTTTGGGAATCCACAAATGTCATGCACAAGCAAGTTGTACCAACACTAATGGATCATATCGTTGTGAATGTCTCGTTGGGAATTCTGGTGATGGAAAGGTGTGTAAAGGTAAGTACATGTGAGTATTACGAAAACTGTGGATGTATCCTCTCGCCTATCTTGCTAGCAGACGTTCATTTTGGTTGGGCCTGCCCGGTAGGAGCATGGCATTTTTTCTCGGGCGAGAGGGAGCTAATAATCTAAAGGCTTGCGTTCAGTTGGTTTTTTGCGGTCAGTTGGGCCAGTTCATGTCTCTAAATCGTATATTTTTACTGTGGAAGTCATCAGCATTCTTCTATAACCTTCAACGGCCTTATAAATCCCAAGCATTCAGCTACAATTTGAGAGAAACATCTTCTCTCGAAACGCAAATTCTGTACTTGCCCTAGATATCTTCTTTGCCAGTGATGTTTCTCATATCAATCCTTTAGTTTACTTCTTTAATTCATGCAGCCATTCTTAACACATAACAGCTCAATTCATATCTGGTATCGGATGTGTGATTGAAAAGTATGCAAAAAAGTTATAATGCAAACATCCGTAATGTGAACTAAACAGAATAGTTGTCCAGAGAAAATTTCATCACCACAAGCGTCCAGTGGGAAAAATTAATCCGCACTTACGCGGGTTCCTTTTGGAAAGATTTTTTTGTCAACAAATAGCCTGCACTGAGTTCGGCCAATCGCCTTCCAGGAATCATATCTGAAATGAATTTTTAGTAAGAGCAAAATTTCTGAATCTTTCTTCTTTCCATTAATTTAATTCTAGGCCCCAAAGTTCTTCGGACCTCGGTCTGCATCCTATTGCCCGATCGCTCAATCCGCTCTCGATCCTTGGGTATGACGGCTTCTCCGTCAATAAATTTTTAGTTTCTCTGCCAATATCATATATAAATTCCTGTCTTGTCTAGACAACCATGCTAGCTCCTTCCTTTTTCATTGTTCTAGAATGTTATTCAAAAAAGCTGGAATATTGAACAAAAATATTTTGATTATTTCAGATATTGACGAGTGTTCTCTTGGAATCCACAAATGTCATGCAAACGCAGTTTGTATCAACACTAATGGATCGTATCGTTGCGAATGTCTCGTTGGGTATTCTGGTGATGGAAAGATGTGCAAAGGTAAGTACATGTTAGTAAGCCAATCTCCCAATAACGTTGTGAGAGTGAAGTTGGGGTTTTCAAGTTTCCCGATGTATATCTCTAACGCACGTACTCTAAAAGCTCACTCACACTCAATGAGTGGAAGTTCAATCTGAGCTTCTCTCGAGTGTCATTGCTGTTTTGAATAGCTGGAAGGCTAGTGTCATACCTTACTATGTGACTGCTCACTCTCCAGCTTTTCAAAAACAGCATTGACACTCAACAGAAGCTCAGCTTGAAACTCCACTCATTAAGTGAGTGGGTGAGTGAGCTTTTAGAATACGGGCGTAAATCATATACTCTCACCGAGCAAGTTGTTGGCATTCTGCTACAACGTGTGGGAATTTCTCCTCTTCTGTCAAGATTCCGCACTTTCCCGAGATCTCTTTTTTGTCAATGACATTTTCATATCTCGAATCGGATGTGTAATTAAAAACTACTGATACGCGTTAGTCATTTTATCGTCTCACTTTCTGACCAGTTGCTTGTCAGATCTTACATTGAGCGAACAGGGTATGATGGGTATTGTTGATCTTGAGTCTTAGATTCGATCTTTGAGCCTTAGATTGACCAAATAGCCCAACATCGAAAGTGTTCATTACAATGTTCTAGCATTGTTGCAAAGCGAATTTGCCGAGTTCAAGGTTTTAAATATAGGGAGTTATCCATCATCCCTTGCCCGCTCAATCTTTAAGGTTTAAGATTTTTTAAGGGCAACCTTTTTTGAATTAGCTGCGATAAAATCAAGCATAGTCTAAGAAGAATATTTTTGATTTTTTCTTAAGGGAGACATAACATTGTTAATTTTATTATTGAGGATATTCTATATGTAATATGTTCACTCCCTTGTTTACAATGGTGTATTTTGTATAATCAGGTCTCCTATATCAAGCATGCAAGTTGTTAATTAATTAATTAATTAATTAATTAATTAATTACTTAATTAATTAATTAATTAATTAATTAATTAATTGACAACCTGCATGCTTGATATAGGAGACGTGATTATACAAAATACACCATTGTAAACAAGGGAGTGAACATATTACATATAGAATATCCTCAATAATAAAATTAACAATGTTATGTCTCCCTTAAGAAAAATTCAAAAATATTCTTCTTAATTAATTAATTAGTTAATTAATTAATTAATTAATTAATTAATTAATTAATTAATTAATTAATTAATTAATTAATTAATTAATTAATTAATTAATTAATTAATTAATTAATTAATTAAGCATACTGATAGTCAAAGAAAAAATTTGAGCTGATCATTGCGTTTAGAAACATGACTTCTGCACTTGTCTGCTATACTATTTTTACACAATATCTTGTCCTCATTAGACCTTCTCCTTTTTTAATATCTCTGTTTGCTCTTTTTATATACAACATATACTGACATAGCTTGATACATTGGGTATGACAGCTTCTACTTAGTCTCCCTACCATTATCTTTATAGGTTACTGTCTTGTCTAGACAATCATGCCAACTCCAATTATATTTTTTTACTGTTAATGTATTCAGAAAAAATCTTTCATTTGCCCAGTCTGTGTAATTGAACAAAATATTTTGATTATATCAGATATTGACGAGTGTTCTGTCGGAATCCAGAAATGTCATATACAAGCAAGATGTATTAACAATAATGGATCATATCATTGCGAATGTCTCGTTGGGTATTCTGGTAATGGAAAGTTGTGTAAAGGTATGTAAGCTAAGTATAAGTGTGATTGTGCTAACCATCCTAACTTGCAGCTGAGGCCTGGACTAGATTACGAAGGCTGCAGCTAAACCGGATTCGGTTGACGGCTAAAGAAGGCGTCTGCGACTCGGCCACCTGATCTGTTCACGTAACACTGCTGCAATGAAACGGTTACTTAATGTTTTATCTCAATTTGGAGATATGAAAAGAAAAGTGTCTGTATATTGAGCTGTCGCCCAAACAAATAAAGAAACCACTTTTCCTCACGACGCAGGGAATTCGGGGAGGATGGAGGTCCCTGTCAGTTAGTTTTTAGTTGGTTCGTAAATGGACAACTGGCAATTCGTTTCTTTAATTCCCTTTGAATTTTTAATTTTCAGGGGACGTGTAGATACATTCTGTTTGATGTAATATAGACTTTTTCTCTTGTAATAATGTATACGAACAAAATTAAACCTAGAATGTTTTGATTATTTCAGATTTTGACGAATGTTCTCATACCAAGCACACATGCGATGCAAATGCAAAATGTAAAAACACCATTGGATCATACCTGTGTGAATGTTCCTCTGGATTTTTAAAAGACGGAAATATTTGCACCGGTATTGAATATCTTTAAGAAAATTAATTAACAATTCCGTATTAATTACTACATTTAATTGACATTACTACATTTAATTAATGGACATTATTTCAGATATTGACGAATGTTCTCTGGGTATACACACATGCGATGTAAATGCTAATTGTAAAAACAATATTGGATCATACCAATGTCAATGTCACACTGGATTTTCTGGAGATGGAAGCACTTGCATAGGTATGAGAACTTCTACAAAAAAATTTGTATTAATTTAGAGATAACGCACTGTATACCTATAGAGATTACTTAACATGACTAAAAAGTTGATTATATATTTGAGACATGGATGAGTGTTTCCTGGGCAATAACAAGTGCCATGCAAAGGCAAAATGTAGCAACACTGCTGGATCCTATCATTGTGTCTGTCTTGTTGGATATTCTGGAGATGGAAATATATGTAAAGGTACATTTTTAGTTCAAAAGAGTCAATGAGTGAGAAGGAGTCGTTTTGGGATCAATTTGACCCCATAACGACTCTTTTACTATCGTTTTAACTCTTTTGAATTTAGAGTGTAGAAAACTTTAATACTTTCAAAAAAGGTGTTCATGTATGAAGGTCCCATAGGATGGGGTCTAGTCCCATTTTCCAACCCACTTCTTTGTCTAAATCCCATTACTGGGCCCTTCAACTTAATATCTTCCAGAACAGTTGTTTCACCTATATGTTCACTTTCGGAACACAATATTCTGCATCCAACTGCTAGCTAGCTCTCTTTACACATAACTTCACGAAGTGAAAGGTTTGAAGTTCATAAATACCTGCCATTTTTGTCACATACTAGGCATACGAAGTAATTCACTGACTTCCAATGCTATAAAAAATGACTTCGACTCAGAAAATGGTAGAATTCAGTCTTCCATGCAGGATATTTTTAGACAATCAAAAGTAATTCTGTAGCTTTCTTCGAAGTTATTTAAACTCTGAGATATCTAACTGCAGCTTTACAATAGAATATGAGTTTTTCTAATTCCCACTTTTGTGTCTGTCATTTCCAATCCCAGTAACCCAACTTCCATTTCCCCAGTCCAAAAAAGGAAATCCCAGAGACAAGGAATCTTGTTTTCGCATTCTTATACTATTTCACATTTTTTTCTTGATGGTAAATAGCATTTATTCAATTTATGAAAATTTCAGTGTAATTGGAATTTCTGCTCTTCCTTTGTCTTGGAATTACGTTTTTCCAAACACACGCTGGTCATATTCAGCAAGTACAGCAGGCTCGCATTTTCCAGCGGACTTGCGGTAAAAATTGAAAGTTTTGCATTTCGCACAGTACTATATTAGATGTCCGCTGCAATACGAGCCCGCACGAGTGGGAGTAATTTCGCTAAATTTGGCCAAATGTGACAAACAAGAGCAAGATATTCCTTATCCGTGACCAAATGAATCTATTTAATAATAAATCACTGCATGAAACTAGACATTACTGAAAGCATTATCATTGTGTTTCAGATATTGACGAATGTTCTCTGGGCAGCAATAAATGCGCTTTAAATGCGAAATGCAAAAATACGATTGGATCATATCTATGTCAATGTCACACTGGATTTTCGGGAGATGGAAACATATGCAAAGGTATGGCAAATTTTTAAAACACATCACCTACTTCAACCTGCATCCTACTTCAACCGAATTTTTAAAATATAAAACTACGCCTGTAGAATACTTCCTCCAACCAGCTTCGCCAGCCTCTCCTTTTTTGAAAGAAACATTAAGGACACGTACAAAAAATGTTTACAGACAAAATTTGACATAGACATGCAGGGACGTTGCGAGGACTTTGCCTTTGGGGGTTGTAAGGTTAGAATTACCTGAAATTATCCAACTGAACATTTTTACCTGATTTTGCGACGCATGCATACCCAGAACATTTTAGTCGCAAAAATTTTTCCGGAAATATCAAATATTTTCCAAACATATCGTAATTTTCGCGATTATATAAAATTATCTCCGCATGTTTTGAATGAATTTTTTGTGATATCTCTGATCATTTACCAATAGTTCATATACAAAATTCAAAAAATTACCATGAAAAAAACTTCAAAAACTGAATTTACCTGTAAAAGGATTCTCAATGATGCCAATGTTCAATCATTTACTAATACAATTAAAAATATATAACACTACAGAGTCCTACAACAAATTTTTCAACTTATTTTCAACATGAATTTTTTTTCTGTGTTGGTGTTGTGTACTCAGGTGAATAATATGTTTGCGATGTTACTCTGAGTGCATATCCACACCGGGCGAGCTTGAAAAATATGCCCGGCCACGGTGGGATTCGAACCTACGACCTTGGGAATTACTCGAACCGTCCTGACCTCGTAGCTCAGTTGGAAGAGCGTTGGGCTAGTATTCCAAAGGTCATAGGTTCGAATCCCACCGTGGCCGGGCATATTTTTCAAGCTCGCCCGGTGTGGATATGCACTCAGAGTAACATCGCAAACATATTATTTTCAATATCCTATGAAAAAACTTTCATTAGCAAAGAAAGTGACGAAAAGTAAGATTGACAAAAATAGAAGCCCATGGATGACAAGTTGTATTGCAAAATCAGTTAAACAAAAGAACAGGTTATATAAAAAATGCTTCCAATACCCTAAAGGAGAAAACGAAAAAATATACAAAAAATATAAAAATAAATTAAATCATGTAATAAAAGTGGCAAAAAAGAAATATTATGAAGAACAATTAATACAATATAAACATAATACAAAGGTATTATGGAAAACATTAAATGAAATTATGAACCGAAATAAGATAAATAGGATGTTACCAAACGAATTTAATGGTAATAGACCAGGAGAAAAAATTACTGATCCAAATGCAATAGCAAATAGATTCAATGACTATTTTGTAAATATTGGCCCAAGTCTAGCAAAAAAGCTCCCGAATTCCAAAACAGCCTTTGAGAAATATCTCACTAACAGCTGTAAAAATAGCTTCTTTATTAGTCCAATAACTAAATATGAATTAGAAAATGAGATAAACAATTTGAATTCCAAAAAAAGCCCTGGGTATGATGGAATAAATTCACAAGTTATCAAAACAGTTGCTACAGAAATTTCTGAACCACTTTCACATGTGTTCAACTTGACTTTCCTCACAGGAATTATCCCTGATGATCTAAAAATACTAGTTAGCCCTATTTTCAAGGAAAACGAAAAGAATGAATTTAAAAATTATCGGCCCATATCTGTTCTCACTTGTTTTTCTAAATTATTAAAAAAACTTATGTATAAGAGATTAATTAACCACATAGAAAAAAATAACATATTAACACAACGTCAGTATGGTTTTAGGGAAAATATATCCACTGAACTTGCAATCATAGAACTTGTTGACAGAATTACTAAAGCAATCGATAAAGGAGAATACACGATAGGTATTTTCCTCGACTTGTCAAAAGCCTTTGACACAATTGATCACAAGATATTGATCTAAAAACTTGATCACTATGGTATACGCGAAATAACTCAATTATGGTTTGAAGATTATTGAAGAAATAGAAAACAAATTGTTAAATTCAACCAAATTAAATCAAAAGAAATGGTAATTAAGAGTGGTGTCCCACAGGGGTCAATTCTTGGGCCAATACTCTTTCTGCTTTATATAAATAATATTGAAAATTGCAGTAAATTGATTTCATTTATATTATTTGCAGATGACACTAATATATATTTTATAGTAACAAGTGTCTAAAAACACTTAGTAATATTATACAAACAGAAATTGATAAAGTTGCTGAATAGTTAAATGTGAATAAATTATCTTTAAATACTACAAAAACTAAAGTTATTTTATTTAGATTCCAAATAAAAAACCAAGCCAAATAATTAAAATTAACATAAATGGTAAAAATATTGAACAATTAGTTAAAACTACAACCTTCTTTGGTATTATCATTGACGAATATTTGACCTGGAAAGATCATATAGCTAAGGTAACAAAGAAAGTAGTTAGAGCTTCTGGTATAATAGCTAAAATGCGACACTTCGTGAACCGAAATTCATTAAAACTGATATATTATGCATTAGTCTATCCATAGTTGATTTATGGCAACTTAACATGGGGTAATACTTATAAAAGTAGAATCCAAAAATAATGAATATACAAAAAAAATTGTGCGCCTAGTGACTTTCAAGTCTTACTTAGAGCACAGTGAGCCAATTTTCAAAGATTTATATATCCTAGACATCTTCAATATCAATTACTATTTAACTGCCTTATTTATGTTTCGATACAACCACCTTAATAATTTACTAGATTTCTTTAAAAATTATGTTTTAATAAACAACCAAATTCATGAACATAACACGAGAAATGCTTCAAAGCTTCACAAATGTTATAAAAGGACAAATTATGTAAAACACACTCTCTCAAATAAAGGATTTGATGTATGGAATTCGTTAGAAACAAAACTTAATCAAATAAACTTCTGTAACACCTTCAAAAAAAAAATTAAACAACATTTTCTGCTATACACAATGCCAATATATAAGACATGCAATATATAACATGTACTTCTTATCTATATGTATATAATATACTACTTCAGTATATGGTAGCCCAATCATTGTAAAAATTCAAATGTATCTACAACATATTTAATTTATATAATACGAAAATTCTCCCTTCTTTTTCTCTTTTGTACATATAGTATATATACATCAAAACTTTCTGATTTTACACATTGTATTGATTGACTGTAAATAATTAATATGTAATCTATCGCAAATGAACAGTAACTAGAGGCCTAAATAAAAAAGTCTATCAAGATTTCTAGTTGTTCTCTAGCCCAAAATCTTTAAATTATTGTAACATATTTTAAGTAGCTTTTTTTATATATATACATGGGAAAACAATAAAAAAAAAGTACAAAAAATTTTTCCGACATCATAATTTTTTCCAAAATTCTTAATTTTTACGAAAACACAAAACAATTTTCCAAACATAGACTTTCTTTACCACTGAAAACTACGTGAACTTGAAATCTACCTGAATTTACCTGAAAATCTAATGCAAATCTACATGAAATAGCTCATGATCAATTATTAGGGGGGTGTTGCACCCCCCACACCCCTAGCTGTCGCTACGGCCCTGTAGACATGTCATGCACGTGGACATTGCTGCCTGACTGCTCTTGACACATTTTCTAATTTAAATACTGAGTGTGCTGTTTATTTCTTGTCAGTCTTTGAACATTGACATTGTAGAGTCTGTTATATGTTGTATTGTGACGGTGAGCACCTTGCATGGGACTTTGTGCCTCGTTCGTGCATTAATTTGGCCGTTTTCTACAAATTGTGCTTATGTTGCAATATAGTTGAGGTTCTGTTTGTCAGTTGTTGTATTTGTTCTTGTGAGTGTTTGTCATATCGTGTTCAGACTTTTAATAGTAGATCTTGTAGAATACTCATTACAATCACGAAGATAAATCTGTAATAATCACATGATTCAATATTTTAATTGAAATTCAGGCATTTAAGAGTGTTTTGGTGGCATTTTCTCCCATAACCAGGGCCGTAGCCACTATATCATAAATGGTCAAGTTAATAGTTTTTGATTTTCTAACGCTATTTTCTGCATTTTGTGGGATATTTTAACCAAATAATTTGAATCGTAAACAAGGAAACGTTTATGCAATAAAGCAGAAAACAAGACCTAAACAACTTTCATACATTATATGCATTTTATGCGAACAGCTTCAGGTTCTTTTTTCTCAACATGCGATTGTTAATTACTAACGACTTTAAACAAGGAAATGGGATGTTGTGTGCATCAAATTTGCAGAAAGACCTAAGGTTCGGTGCCTCAGGATACATATAAGTTAACATTACAACTAATATACAATTATTGGGCGAGGTTGAGAAAAATATCGATGCCAAATGGAGAGGCAAATAATTTGTCTGCGAGCCACTGACAAATCGCGAAATTTTGCGATAACCGATTTCAGTAATTGTTTTGTTATTTACTTATTCATTTTCGAAATTTAATGGCCGTCACTAAGTTCAACAAATCTGTACAATAACAATATCTGAAAATTTAGCAATCCATGTGTACTTTTTTATCTGAATTGATTTTCAAAAATATTAATTAAATGCGCATGCATAATTCGATATTTTGCAATTGATAATTGATTTCAAAAGTGCGCATGCTCAGATCATTATTGGCACCAGTAATTTTCAGCTGACATATTATTCTCACCAGTTATTTGTAGGCAAATTAGCCAATCAACGTTGATAAAATGAATAAGTAAATGATAATTTTTAGAAACTGGATTGATTTAAAGTATATATTACTTAAAATGCATTAGCAGCTTTGCTGTTTCTTGTCCTTATTCTATTGAGATTGAATGCCATGACACAGATGAGCGAATGGCCAAATATCGAACCACTGTCTTTGAGCTTTGCAAAGAACAAGTTTAGAAAGAGCGGTTTTGAACTATTAGTCACCATAAATCTCGGCCGTCCACACACGTGCAAGCTGCCGCTGGACCTTTACATTTCCCAATATTTCTGTGTCAACTTCCACAACAAATAAATGTCATCAGTCATCGTCGTACATATTATATATCAACATTAATTTAATAAGCGAAAGCAGTGCCCGGTTTTTAACAGCGGTAATAATATTACTTTCTACATCTCCTTGGGCTAGTCCCCGAGCCTATGGCGCGAAGCGCCGTGCGTGGGTACTATCCCCCCGGCCATTTACACCTGGGGAAACGAAAGCATTAGCGAAGTCTAAAATTCATCAATGATCGCGGGCGTGGCTCACCAACAATGTTTCGATGGGCGGTCATCCTCACTGATCTCAAATATACGGCGGACTGTCATGAATAGCGGACACTGGTTGGTCCAATTTAAAGTTTGCATTATATAAACGACTGCATGACGACAGCGCAAATATTTCTTGATTTGATGATTGATAAATTTCTTGCAAATATGTTTCATTTTTGCTCGCATTTTTGCAAGATTTTGTAAATTTCAAAAGCTTTCTCAGAAAGAAACGTTTTGCGAAGCGTTTGTGGTTGAATTTTACCTTAAATTGAAGCTTATATTACGTATAATAACATACCTAACATATAAATGTTGGGAAATTGATAATTTTGTAACTAAAAGTGATATTTTTAGGCAATTTTTCATTTGTAAGAATATTCTTAAAAAAGTATCGTGTTACCATGACAACTACTTTAGATACTTCATGTTCGGAAAATGGAATGGTTTTGTCAGCAAGGCAAGGGTTTCTGCATGCATGTATTTTCTAGTGTATAAATGTTTCGTCAGTTCCAAAGTACATTATGCTTATATTGTACAAATAAAAACGCTTCTGCCTCTCTATTCAAAACCATATCATTGGAACTATTGTTATTGCAGTCTTTTCTATCTATAAAAGTGCTTATAATAGGCCTTGTATACAAGAAATATTCTAACGAAAATATTTTGATTATTTTAGATCTTGACGAGTGCTCTCTAGGAAGCTATAAATGCCATGCATACTCAAAATGTACCAACACTATTGGATCATACAAATGTAAATGTCTGGGTGGATACTATAGTGTTAGAGATATATGTAAAGGTATAAAACTTACTTTTAAGTAGAAAATCTTATCAAAGCATGGTGTTTACCTAAATTCGATATTCAATGTTAAAAGTTGACGTGATAAATTGATTGTTCACGTAACACTGCTGAACAATCGACTGTCGAAGTTAAATTGATTGAGGAAGGTAGCGAAACAAATGGAATTTTGGGACAGTATTTCAAATGGCATTTCGTGTGTTCTGGGAAATTTAACTACCCACAACAACGACAAGCATATTTTAAAGATAAGCCTACTATTAGTTCTTTCAAACGAGATGCCATAAGCAGGACCGTAACTTGGGTATTACGACTGGGGGGGGGTACGTATGAGTTTGTTTAGGCCGACCAAATGGGCGGGGCGGAAGTCGTGACGAACGGGGGGGGGAAGTTTTCCTACAATTAATACTTTTCAAAAAATTATGTAAAATATGTTGCTGAATTACATATTTTTTGCCCGACCAAAAAATATGTAATTTTTTTATTAAAATTGCTAAAATTGCCCGATCGACAAAACTGCAATATTACAACATTGGGTGGAGGGGGGACACTCCTAGGAGTTACTCCCCTAGCCATAAGCTACTATTAGTTCTATTGAGGTGCCGAAAGCAAGCTCCTATTTATAGTTCTATCGAACAAAATGCCAAAAATCTCGGTACTTACCAACATAGTTCTACTGGCATTAGTACATTATATATACAGGAATCGGCGGTCCATGCTCAACAACTGGACTCTAGCTGTAGCTCAGTTGGTTAATTAGAGTAGTTCGTCGGAATCAAAGAACCACATGTTCCATTCCAGCCAGAGAGATGATAATTGCTCCTGGTTAAGTCTATAAACAATACAAACAACTTACACTCGCAAATTCCATCAACAAAACCATTCAAGATGTATTCGTAATTTTCACACTTGGCACACAGATCCTCCTTGTAAAAAATTGATGGTGTACTTTTAAAACCTTTGGAATGGTGTCATTTCTTCTATTCGATGTCGAAAGACACAAAAATTCCGAAATTTAATCAGAAATTTTGCAACAAACCAATTTTGATCTGCGAATTTAATGTGGAAGTGTACGTTAGAGAAACTGAAATCACTGCTCAACCCCAGATTTATTTATTGAACATCACTTTAATATTATGATCGCATTTCAGATGTTGACGAGTGTATTCTGGATAGTCATATATGTCACGCCAAAGCAAACTGTACCAACACCATTGGATCATATCAATGTCGATGTCATACTGGATATTCTGGAGATGGAATGATTTGTAAAGGTATATAATTACTACATACAAGCAGCAGTATCTATCAATCTTTTGTTCTGCTACATTTAGCAGCTAACCTGTATCATCATTACTCAACAACTGTAGCTGAGTTGGTTAATTAGAGTGCTTCAACGAAATCGCAGGGCCACATGTTCCATTTCAGCCAGAGAGATGATAGTTGCTCCTGGTTAAGTCTGTAAACAACCTATACGTGCAATTTTCAACAACAAAACATTTCAAGATGTATTAGTAATTTCACATTTGCATTTCTATAGAACAAACAGATTTTTAAAAACTGCGCATTTCATGTGGAAGTGCACAAATTAGAAAAACTGAAATCACTGCAGTACTGCAGATTATTGAACATTATTTTAATATTATGATCGCATTTCAGATGTTGACGAGTGTATTCTAGATAGTCATATATGTCACACCAAAGCGAACTGTACCAACACTATTGGATCACATCAATGTCATTGTCAAACTGGCTATTCTGGAGATGGAATGATGTGCAAAGGTATATTCCTAGATTTGCAAAGGTATATTCCTAGTATATTCCTTCGATATCAATGGAATTTAGTTATCATGATTTTTTTATGTGTTGGTTTCATAGATATCGAATATACACTAGATAGCGCATCTCTTTAAGTAAAATTGAAGCCAAGAATATTCCAGCGGTTACCCCCATTTGAATAGATGGCGGCCATGTTGGAGTTTCCCATTCGCTAATAAACGCTTAAAAAGCAACAATAACTTTCATCATTTGAACAGTTTGAAAATGTATTTGGAATACGTTTAACTTAATGTTTAAGTTCCCTGTTTAAGAAATAAAAAACATACGAGTCTTCTCATTTCATGGGAATATCCTGAGTCTGCAATCACGGCTTCAATTTTTGAATTGCAGAATAATTAGATGCACTATCACTCAGGTGAATATGAT